ATTTAAATATGTTAATGACAGTTCAGCGACCTCATGGTGAACGCAACACGGAAGAGATTTACCGATAATGTAGTGCGATCTTTTGCCTTTGATTTCCATGGGAAAACGGCATGATTTTTTTTTTAAATCAAGAAATTATTTGTTTTCGAAAGATAAATTATTCTTCAATGCTCAGTTTAACACGTTTACGGTGATAAAAGCTCGTTGTCTAAAACTTACGAAACACAGACGTATTCAGAAAGAGTATTGACAGAGGTCGCCAGAACAAAAGCAGTTTCATTGCCTGTCTGACATCTTATCACCGCTGAACAATAAATAGGTGTGAATATTTTTAGGCATGTTGTCGAAACAAAGAATAGGATTAGGAACAATGCCGTTTTGGAACAGCTGGTTGAAACAATGAAGTCAGTCACGGTCTTGTTGAATTGGGGGTGCGGTTAGTAATAGGTACTTTTCAAGTTTTCAATTTTTGTTAAGAACTCTTTAACCCCGAAGCCGGAATTGGGGGTGCGGTTACTATTACGTATGCGGTTTATATTAGGACTTTAACGGTATTGCATCAAGTTTGGCCCAAACATAATATCAATTATAAAAACTGCTACACCACCCGTCCCTTTAGGAACAGATGAATGGAGGATTCAACATGATGCAAGCAAACAATCTTAAAGGCTGGTTTATTTTTACGAGAACCAGTAGAAATATTTTGAATGGTGTCTTGATGAGTTAAGTAGAAGATAATAGTATCAAAAGCAAATGAGGGAAACATAAATATCATTTTTACACTTAGGTCTACATTGTTCATCTAGTGGTTATAATATTCTATGCGCCGATGTACGTTCTTTTTCCAGTTCAACGGTTATAGATCCCAAATTGTTTTTACCTATGTTAAAGATTGGAAGCCGGAAAACGTAACCGGGGACAGTTACCCCCTAGACAATTAGTGATAATGGTATAATGTAGCAGAGTACTAACTATTGTAATTCAGTTTAGAACTATTGGAAGATTATATTTGCATTGTCGTCATGTGTCAAGACCTTTACTGTTTCAAAATACTGATGTTGGAGCTACGCGAGGGACGAGTAACAAGGATTAGTATCTAATTAGAAAGCTATACACGTACAAGGGTTTAAAAGGTACTCAAGAGCCGTCCAGAAATAGCTTATGTAAAGACAGATATTGTGCAACTTTTTAGTAGTCCTGCAGCCCTAGGACAATATTTGGAAGCAGCATTTCCAGTAGGATTTTTGCAAATGCGCATTTGCTATGCACTACAAATAAAATTTGCGTACAAGAATAACAAATGCGCAATTCAGAAAGTGATGATAAACAACTAAATTTGACACCCTGATTTTTTTCTGAGGCCCAATAATTTATTTATACATGTATATTTATATACGTTGCAAAAAATTTTTTCAGAGCATGTGGTCTGTTTTTACTCTAAAATAATTGTTTGTGAGAATGTCTTTATAGTACATAGACGTGTATCAAATCAAGCCCAGCCTGTAATCTAACTTTATTTCGAAGTCAAATTTTACCAGACAGACGTTGTCGCTTTGTAATTTTTGAATGGTTTTTCACGACTGAAAAACGTGTTACTGATCGTCAAATTGTCTTTGACAAAACCAAAGTTGTCAGGGATTTAGTCAGCAAGTTTGCTAACTTGCTGCCTCAATACTTTGAATGCTTACTGCCAAAATTGTTTTTAAAGCACTACAGTCGACACTCTTTGATGTTCGGAAAATGGATTTTTATAGGAAATTTGAACACTCGTTATGTGACAACTGTAGTGCTTTAAATTACATGACGACGATAGTCAACATCCACTATATATTGAGAGATGTAGATGTCCACTGTCACACAACATTTGTTTTTAAGTTTACAATGATACAATAGTCCCGACTTTGCCTGGGGAAATCCAACACAGGCACAACAATAAATCGCTGCATACACATGTGCATCTGAATGCAACTTGACTAAACTCTTCTGTTAGAAGAATCATTCTTATTTTAGCACTGTTTAATATTGCACACACCAGTCTATTCCCCAAGATAGTAAATTTATTAATTATGGTTTTTACATGGGAATGAGACGTTAGTGCATACCCTAAAAAGCTTCAGAATGGAACAGCAAAGAAGTCAACTTACCCATTTCTTTTTATAAGTGGCTGTTCTAGCGTACATTGCAGCTCTGCCATAGCGGGATATCCCACCCGACAGCATGCTATTGCGGCTGCTGTGGGGCCTCTTGCGTTTCTTTTCATTGGCCATGCTGTAAATAATCAAGTTGAAATTGTATTAATTGTTTCTGGACGTGTAGATTTGCAACTAAGGTTAGTGTATGTGTGGTGGAGGTACACCTTTGTTTCGTGTAATACGAAAACATCGAAGCGACCAGACTGCAGTTTGTGTATATTAAATCAAATATAATAATGGGATGACCTAACAACCACGCCGGAAATCAACGTCAGTATGTCGAAATTGTATTACGCTAATTAAGTTGCACGACACACAACACAAGGGCAAATGGATAACATGGTTATGTGATGATTCGAAAATACAAATTATCCATCGAAAACTACACGGAAATTTATTTAATGTCAGCGAAAATAAAAACTAAATATCTACTTTATTCAGTCGTGTGTTTAATTTAGCTCGATGGTCCGTGTTTTTCAAGATTTTGATGGATTATTTTGCGACTCTAGTGCGAGCCGCCATACTTACTTGACGGGCAAATGGGGAAAGGACTAACATACGGGTTCTTTGGACTGTTGCGCATGAATCAGTGACGTTTTACACATAATAGTCGATAACCGGAAGTAGTTTTATAAAAGCCTTTATAGCGGCGGTTTGCTGTGCAGGTAAATATCTATATAAAATGCGATGTATATACAATTTCATGTATTATTTTGTTGCACATAGACAAATACAATTCTAGTGCTATCAGCTGGATTCAGCAAACACTAGAAAAATGATAATTTTTTCAAAAACTTTGTCAAATCACTGTCCGGGGGACGGTGGTCAAATTATGGAACGGAAAATCATGTTTGTCTGCAAACAATCACACTCGATCGGTACAGTGTGTATTATTATTTTGAAAACGAGTTCACTGTTTTACATCATGCAGTTCGTAATTGTAGTACAGTCTTGGGTTAGTCATTGAAGAGCTTGTATAATATTCTGTATGATTTGTTTGACATTAAAGAGTCGAAAATATAAATTTCATTAATTATAAAATTAATAATTAAATGTTTGCACTCTGAGATCATCCAAAGATCTTCTTTATTAGGGTCATGGGAATTTCATGTGACATATTTGTTGGTTTGAATATACTGGAATACAAAGTTGAATGACAGACGAATATTTGTGACTTTACGGGGAGGGGTCACTGTACGTATATATGCAAAAATGTATTTTGAATTTCGCAGAGAAATTGGTACTATTATACATTTCGAAGCTCAGATGTCTACAAAAACCCAAAAAAGGGTACTTTGACTGACTTTGTAAAAATGCATAAAAATGGAAGACCTTGTTGTTTTGAAAGTTCCACCTGTACCATCAACATTAAAGCGAGAGGGTCTACACCTGCGCACACACAGGAATTGAGTCCCAAGCGACAATAACAACACATGCTAAAATGCAAAGGCTCATGGATATACACTTGTTTGTAAACAATGTCACGCTATGGCCATCTGACACATATGCAGGTGACGACTCCCCTGCTTTAAATGTATAGAGACATGCAAGCAGAAAGAGAAAACAACGTTTTTTGAATAATGTTGGTAGTTGCATTGCATCATGTTCAATGTCTGTTCTGTTTGCCATATAACAATGTACAATCATATACATTGCTTGCTCCTACAAAATTTTAACACACTTTGCATGACAAGGGGTGCGTATAGTGAACTGTTTTTGGTTAAATTTTCAGCATGGTTAAATTATTACGACAAACTGACTTCTTGATTTTAAATTTTTTTTCTCTAAATCTCACAGATTGTTTATTAGATACCACCAGATTAGCATAATTTTTAAACTTCGTTATATATCTTTCATTCAGCTCTGCGTGATTAATTGAGTAACCAGACTACACTCTTAAGTTTGTCTTTATTACATGCAAGACTTTGAATACTGATGAATTCAATGTAATGATGCCAGTTGCAGGTGAGTGCAAACTTATCTATTCCTGTACGAAAATGTGATTTTTACCTGCACATTCCTCTAGTCAGTGACTTATCACTATAAATGCTGAACTAATATTTTAAACAATAGCACTTCTCAGAGATTATAATCAGTATTTAGGTATATAAATTTCATCTCATAATACTGTAAAAACTTGATTAATTCGCGGTAGTAAAAATAATTATTTTTTCAAGTGCGCGAATTAATAGCGTAAAAACGGAAATTATTGGTTTTTGGTGCGCGAATTAAAAGAGTTCTTTTAGATCTATTCAAAAAGGAGCTGTTTTCATAAATTTATTAGTGATTTGTTTTGTTCTCCAATGAACATGATTACAGTACGTTGTTTTAGTGCCTCTGCAACTTGTGGCTAGTGGCATTCATGGCGTATAGTCGGGCAGAGAACATGCACTGCGTCAAGGACCAAGCACCATGTTACACTTGAAATGGAACAGCGAAATGGCAAAGGTCACTCTGTACACAAACTACAAAGTATTATTAGTTGTTCGACAGGTCGTCGGCAGTGAAGTCTGATGTACCGGATTCTGTTGTAAATTCGTTCAAGGTCGCGGTTTTTTGGCAGTTTTTTAAGGTGTTATTTTATTCTTTTCTGGTGTCTACAAGTTTCGCCGTAGTTATTGACACATATTCAAGAGTATTTATGTTTATAGGGACTAGCGTGAATGGGTAAGCTTTGTTTCAACAATGAACTGTTATCGCTGTAAACAATGTTAAAATATTCTTCAAATGCTCAGTTTCGCTATTGAAAACAAGTAATTTTTTGTTTAAAAAAAAAAAAATCATGTTGTTTTCCGATCTAAATCCAAGCCCAAAAGATCGTACTACAATCTCGGCAAATGTCTTTCGTGCTGTGTTCAATAACATTAACGTATTTAAATGAGCTATGGCAATTTGAACACGTTGACATCATCCATCGTTTTCATTATCAATTTGACCAGTCAGGTTAAAGAACACCGTCCAGGTCAAAACATGGCAAAAAACATCAAACGTTAAAGCATCGTCATTCGCTTATGATGTAACTAAGTTGAAATTTATTTGCATTTCATAAAAATTCAACGAATTTATTTTTTGCACATTATTATAACGGCGACCATTTGCTACTAAGCGGCTTGAATGCAGTTGGGTTCGTTTTTATTTGAATATACTTTCGTCACTAATAAAATGAAACCAAATAATTGTATTTGGTGCACGAGGTTCGTTAATGTGATTTTTTTGGAGAAAGATGCGCGGTCTACTTTTTAATCCAGCAAGAAAAAAATGTATAAAATTTTAGATTAGCTTCTGCAATAGTTTCTTTTGTTTTGGGTGGTCCAACTTCCGGCGTCGAAAATAGGCGTAGGTGAATTTTTCAATAAAAATATAAGCCCCCTAAAAATATTTGATGATCATTTTTTTTTAAATTTGAACCCCGAATACAGGCCCACCAGCCGTGAAACCGCCCAGGGCGATTTTTCGGATGGGCGAATTTACGGCAGAATCCGGTACTGCCCAAGAAATAAAAAGAGCCCAAGTTAAAGGCTACTTTGTAGCCATTGTTTACATGATTTTTTTTTTTTTTTCGTCAAGCACTTTCATCTATAATGAAAATGTGACACAAGGTCAATCGCCCGACCAATCAAAAACGTCAATTTACGCACAGGGCGGTTCATTTAAATTACGTCATAAAATAAAATCACTTTCCAAAATGGCGGACACATAGTCGATGCAACCCTGTGAACCAGCGACGAATAGCCCTGTACTAAGCTTTCCATCACGGAAATTCGTAATCGATGTGCTTACCGATGAATATTTATCAACTAAGTAATAAATTGCCCAACATCTGTAGTGTCGTGGGGGAATGACTGTTTTCAGGTCAAATCTTGACCGAACCTAAACTGCTTGCTAACTGAAAGGCTGTGATGACGGAGATCGTCTGCTATTGCGGCTACACCAAGTACTGATAACATAAATACAAACATTGTTTTGAAATACATGTAAGTATTCATTTGATGAAATGAAATAAATGTTAATGCGCATGTACCTGTACCCTGAATTTACACATACAATTGTATGTACATGTAATGTATGTACTAATGTTTTCACTATTGCATTGAGCTACTACTGTTAGATTTACTGTCAAAACAACATTTTTATTGAGGGAAAAATCATGCAGTATTGTTTTTATCTCAGAAAAACTTATTTAAACATTCCCAAAAATAATCAAAGAATTAAAAACACATACAGGTACATCACTACTAAATTTACATGTGTTACATTCCACATCTTGGGTGCTAAGTACAATGTATTATTTATACCTGTATGTATATATATATATATATATACATGACATGGCTCAGATTAGCCTGGCATGGTCAGTGATAGTTATAGCGCCCTCACCGACAGATCTATTTAATGCAAACTATGCCTGACATTAAATTTCAATTTAGTAGCCATAGCAACTCTGCCAATCACCAATCAAGAATTGCAGCAATTGACATGCAAACAAGACACTCTGATATAGGTATAGATTATGATGGTGAAATTAAACAACATGGCCTTGTGCATCCAATGTTATTTGCTGGTGGACTCCATGGGAGTCGGACATTGCTTGGTACAAGTCTACAACAGTAAAATTATTCCTGTAAAGATATTTATGTGTCAACAAGATGAACATATTATGAAAGGCTATTATGTGATGGCTGTCATAATCAACAGCTTCTGCAAGTGCCGACAAGTTTATGTTGGTGATAACAGAAAAACTACATCATTGTGTCTGGCTTAGTTTGTTATTGTTAATCATGTCAGGCTAGGCTTGGATTGGTACAAAATCTTTGTTGGTACTGTAATTACTTGTTCATATTAGCTGATGTCAAACAGTAAGAGAAAGTAAAATGGGATTATATAATCATTCCCTGTATAAGTCCACCTTCTGAATGAGTGAGTGTTAAATGTGGAACCATTGCTAAAATAATATATCATTGTACGCACGTAGTTGCTAATTTTGTTAATGCAGAGTTCTGTGTCCTGTGAAGGCATTGTCATTCTGCTCATTCATGATATCTGCTCCAATTTCCAGTGAGTTTTTAAAAATTTAAACTGATTTTTTTGTGCGACTGATTAAACGTACAAGCTTGCAAGCTTTTTTAATCACTTTCACTATAATCTGGAGTTATTGGACCATACATTTGTACATACATTTGTATCGTGTATACAGAAAGCTTTCAACAACATGCTAGAGTGCATAAAATGAAAAGTTGGTAGTCCATGATATATTAACAATAATAATTAACTGTCTTGTTTGTTCTTTCCATAGAGGAACATGAAACTGAGGCATTTGACACTCCAGATTACAAACAAAAATATAAATCACTGAAAAGAAAACTGAAGTTTCTGATATATGTAAGTGAAGTTCTGTTAAAACTGTAATTTGTTTATGCGTTCATAATGATGCTTCACGGTGAGTAGTATTTGTTGTGAACAAGATTTGTGAGTGGCTTTTTTCTCAAATAGAATTCTGAGTCATCTAAAAGTTTTGACTATTGACATTTTCCTGTCAGTCTTGAGGTATAGCTCTACATTCAATGTTTGTGACTATGTGAAAGGGTCATGTAACCATCTCTCTGTCAAAAGGCATTTTGGTAATTCAATTTGTTCTGAAGTCGACCAAGCCTTGTCAATCACAAGCACCTTCACCAAGGTTCTCCTAAAGTCATACTTTCACAATTGTCTGTGGCAAACTCACACAGGATACAGTGACTTTGGCTTCTTATTAAGGCTATAGCACACCCACCCAGGTACAGTGGCTTTGGCCTCCCCATTGAGTTTATGGCACACC